TAACAACGTAACATTTTACAAAATGGCATGGTGAAGGATCAAAATCATGACTGCTGTACAAAAACAATAAGTTATACTTTCATTACACAAAACTGAGTATTAACATAAGGCTATGATAATTACCCGTAATTTTTTCTGATGAAATTTCATAAAGTTGTGTAATGGTAAACCACAGATCAAATCACACAGTATTGTATTAACTGAATAAAGTTCCCATGATATGAGGTCCTAGCATTATCAATAGTGGCATTTAAATGTACAATTCCTGTATGTACTCCCATATTCTTGCAATTGTGTTTGTGTAATTTGCTTAAATTTTGAATATACATACACACATCATAGGACCTCCTTTGCCAGTACCAAAATATGAGAATAGGTTTTCCCCTTTTTTCTGGCAATAAAACAGGTGTTAAGATGTTAAAACACCAAACTGAAACCTTTTACAAGGAGTTATGTCTGCATTAACAACAACACTTGTGGTCAGAATGCAAACAAAAAACATACTCTGATAATATGTGCATTGTCTTTGAAACTGATTGTTTGCATTCTGACCACATGTAGTGTGTCTGATAAACACATTTAGGGAATCCAATGTAGACACTTCTCACATTATTATTTTTTATCACGGTTCATATCGGTTTTTACTTCTTGACCTTCGTGTCATTTGGTTGACATCACATTTTAAAGTTGTGATTTAGCGAATGATAGCACCTAAAAAAATCTAGCTGATCGCCACAGTATGCTAGTTGTTGCTACATTAGTTATATAGCGTGTGAAGGGCTGGACAGGTGCCAGTGAGCTATCCAGTTTTGTTGGCAAATAGCTCGTGCCCTGCATTAGTGGGACGCTTATGAAATTCAAAACATATTTCAAGTTGCTCCTTACCTTGCACTAGGTTTCCAATAGCTATCAAGCATTGGCTTATGCCTTTGTTTGTTTTTCAAAGGTCAGTTGTGAGACTTTCCCGGGTAAACAAGCACAACATTAATCATTGTGACTGGCACACTATAATTGATCATTTTGCTGGGAGGTTGATAGTCAAAGTGTTCCTAATGATTTTGTCAGATGCAATTCTGTGGATTATGGCCAGAATAAAAAAAAATCAAGAGATTTTATAAAACATGTAATTACGAGCATGGTCAAACAAGAACCGTGACTCAAAGTCGTTGCATGTGCGTGCCTATGCCAATGTGTGAATGGCATTACAGCAGATTCCCTTTCTGATAAAAAAAAACATGTTTGTGCAGCATCAAATATAACATTAAGAGCAGTATTCTTCTATATACATATATCAATGAAAATATAGGTCTGATTGTGCATGTACATTCAATAACGAAAGCACGGGAGCCAGAATGTATTTCTGACTTGATCGTACATTCAGCTGGGTTTGATGACAGCTCAGGCGGTCATAGCTGGGTGACTTCAACTGAGCAATGTTTGCAGCCACTTGATGTATTTAATACCTGGACCTGCAAGTCCCTCTTTAATGCTCAAATGTTGTGAGGGGACCACCCCAGACACTTGCCACTCATATGATGATGGCCTGGTCTGGAGGCCAGAGAGAGCTTCATACACTGCATGACAACAATGTCAACGCTTGTAAAGATGAACATTGCTGCCTTCCTCCTTTCAACAGGTTCCATTTCTGAGCCTTTTGACAGTTAAAGGCGCAGGGGTGGCAACGGCGATGGGAGGGTATTTGGGGGCAAGATATATATAAGTATATACAGTGGCGGCTCCTGCAAAATCTCTCAGGGGGGCAAATGTCTGGATGATTGATAAGGATAAGGTCCACCCATGCAATGAATACATTAACAGCTTAAGCATGTAAAGGCAACTTCACTTCTTTAATATTAATGAAAAATTAAGTGACTCTTACAATACATCTCCTTGTTTGTTTCTATACTCACTATTAATAGAATCCACTCAAGTTTATTTTATTAAAGATTCCACTCGGTGGCGACACATTATATTGTTGGATGAAACGTGCTTACGTATGACGTAAGCACGTTAGGGCGAGCCCTCCCGGAAGTCATAGAGAATGCATTGGAGCGCCCGCCGTTCGAAAAAAAACATCTTTGAATGTAAGTCTATGGGGCCACTCGGGGCGATTCTCAGCCGGAGTGAAATCGCCCAAAAAGAGGCGGTACTCCACAGAACGTGACATGACGCTGATTGGACTATATCCAGAGGCACAGTGACGGCTAGCGTGACTCTGTGGTTGAATGACATTGGTGGTGCGTCGCCCAATCGCCCTAATGAAGAAACCGCCCCTGAGTATATATAGTTGTGGTTATATATGAATAAGTGCACATTTGCTGCTCAGCAGGAAATTATAGCACTAATTATACAGTCTTCAAACATATTCTTTGGGTCTTTCGGTAAAGTCACGTAAATAGGTTCATTTTTTTTAAACTACGACGTTTCGATCACAACACAAGCGACCGTCATCAGGTGACAATCATCAAGTGACAGTCGCTTGTGTTGCGATCGAAACGTCGCAGTTTATTATTTATTTATACCTATCTACGTGACTTTACCGAAAGATCCAAAGAATATGAATCCCTGCAGTCACGAAAGCTTTAAGTCAAGTCTTCAAACAATTTATGCATTCCCGTGAAAAGCTACATAACAAATATATAAACGTTGTGAAAAGTATGGATTCACTGGTAAATATATGTAGTGGTTTAACGCGCACGAAGTGGGGTGATTGTAAACACGAGTGGGTTGTGGACAGTTGGGTCGTATCGGAACAAGCTGGTGTTGCTGGGGGCCAACGGTCAGACGGAGACGGCTCGTTAGGCAATTATGGGATGCAGGGCAGTGATTGGCTGTTTGTTGTTGTCAGGGGCGAGGTGGCGCCTCTAAGTCTGGGAATGGGAGCAGGTGGCGGCGGGGGGCCTCGGGGCGTTGGGGGGACGCCGGTTAATTAATTGGAAATTAATAGGGATGGGGATAAATACGGGAGTGTCAGAGTGAGACGGGGAGTTGTGCTGGGAGCTGGACCGAGACGGTTGGAGCAGAGGAAGAAGAGATGAGAAGAAGTGTAGGGTAGCAGTAGAGTAGAAGTATAGGGTAGCAGTAGAGACGGCGAAGCTGAAGAAAGCCGAGATGGGCGAAGCAGAGAGGAGAGTCGGGAGAGAGAGAAAGACGGAGAGAGAGAGGGAGGAACGGAGTGAGCGAGGCCGGTGGAGCGCGGCGAGCGAGCGGAGAACGCGCTGGAGAGTGGTGGCGAAATATGCTGAGTTTGATCAAATAAAGTGACAACAGAAAAATAAGAAGTTGTCCGCGTAAAGTTCAGCACTACATATACAAGAGTTTAAGACTGTTAAATTAAATATATCCTAAACACATTTAATACAAGTTAATAATGTACAAGTGCATTTCAAATGACGTTTCAAAGTTAATGTTAATCTGTGAATGCCTCTGAAGGTTAATAGACTTGTAAAGCTAGTTATAACGATATATTGTGTATTATTTGGGTTTTTCGGTAAAGCCATGTAGATAGAAAAAATAATAATATGACGTTTCGATCGCAACACAAGCAATCGTCATCAGGTGAAAACAGAGGGGTAAAGCTGCTGAGGCAGGCTGTTTATAAAGGTTTAGAGATGGGCGCGGCAGCTAATGTTAATGGCGGAGAGGTCTCCGTAGCCTGCAGTAGTAGGTCGACACCAATCAAAGAGCTGTTTATAAAGGTTTAGAGATGCTTGTAAATGTGTGGACCAATCAGTTTCAAAGACAATGCATATGATTACGGAGACCTCTCCTACATTAACATTAGCTGCCGCGCCCATCTCTAAACCTTTATAAACAGCCTGTCTCAGCAGCTTTCTCCCTCTTTTTTCACCTGATGACGATTACTTGAGTTGACATGGAAACGTCGTGATATTGTTATTATATTTATTATGTTTTCTATCTATGTGGCTTTACCGAAAGACCCAAAGAGTATGAATTCCTGCAGTCACAAAAGCTATAAATCAAAAGATGTGTATTTATTTCACTGGTCTGAATGTAATATACCTTATATAGAATTCAAGGAAAGCTGCTTTTTGTATGCTTGTGATGCCTTCATGGAATTATTAGCCATTGTCTATCTACTGCTGCATGAAGGAAGACCTCCCCACCCGATCGTTATCACTCATGGTCCTACAATGCCACAATCAATCCATCTCACTCCTCTACAGATGCTGCTCTGTTTGCTCCGCTTCCGAGGTGGTTATCCTATTGGGTACATTCGCTCCTTTGGCTGCCATTACTTCACTGCTCTCATCAGCCCTCCTAGCGATGTGTCCTGTCCCAGCCAACTTACTTTCTTGAACAAGTAATGCCTCTAAGTGTATTCTGTATCCTGATCAATGTGTTCCATTTTATCTGCGGGTAATTCCAAGCTTGCATCTCCCCATGCCTATTTGTGAATTTTTCAGCTGGTGTTCCATTTTACTTGTCAGTGCCCATATTTTTGATCCGTATGTTATCATGGTAATGTGCACTGATCGACGTTATTTTCCAGGCACATTGGTGTGCTGCTAAAAGTCTCCGAAAGAGTATATAATGCATGTTAATTGCAATTTCTCACAAGTGCCTGCCTGATTCAATATACAGTATTTCCAATTCAAACAAGTGAAATCATAAATGCCACGTTGTCATCTTATGCTTAAAGTTGCAAATTCAATGATGGGAGCATTCCCTTTGACATCATTTCCCGATTTAGGGATGGAGGGAACTTGTGTCTATAGCTCCCCCTACTGGACATAACAGTGGATGCAACTCACAGGTAGAGTGGAGTTGTCAAAAATGTACAATGCCCGCAAAGAATATTCCTGTCAACACAGAACAATGTTATGGCAATGCATGCAGTCATGGAAATGTAAGATGCAAGCCTTTAAAACAACGAACCTGCAGTTATATTCTCATCACCATATGTATGTACACATATTTTCCTCAGGCCAATGGGGCCCTTCTGTTCACATTCCTCATGGCTTCTTTTTCATATAACAGGAATGCACACTCAATAATGTACCACCATTTAAAACACATTTTTATTCATCAAAATATTGTGCAGTTGCTCTAATCAAACTTACACAAACTAACATCTTGAAAATAAAACAAAGGTGCAACTGTGTACAGTAAATTGTTTTGGAAGTAAAAAAATTACAACAAAAACACATTAGTGGAGGATCACCATATTTGGTGGGAATTGCATGCATCTGTGTTTAATAGATTACACAGCCGTTTAGAAAATTGAGAGCATTTAAAAACAGACAAATTACAATTGCAGGAACTTTGCGGTCTGCCTTGGCTCAATCTAAATTATTAAAAACATTTGTTTCCATAGCCCACGTACGTGTTTAATGTATGCATCATAGTTACCAATTAAATATTTTCAGAATTTAACACATACCTACATCGTTTTCAAATCACTTAACAAATTCCCTAAACACACCATCAATCTTGGGCGATTACAAACTAAATATTATAACGTTGCCAGAAACTGCCATGGAATTAATGTTAGAATTGCAGAGATACTTCCCATAAGCCCGTCACTGTATGAAGCCAGATAAATCTGTATAAGACGTAATAAGTTCATGCTGCACATGTCCTTGGAAAAGAGTATGTAAGTGAATACCCTTTTTATGTTGAAATCTATGATCAAATCTAGAATATGCTCTGCAGTCTAAAACTGGATAAGCTAGTAGACAGTAGCAGTCTTTCAAAAATAATAGAAATGCCAAGTAGTGGGCCACAATGGTAAATTACAAAATGTTTAAGGCTCCTGGCTAAGGCTTCATACATATAAAACGAATCTTATCACTAGCTAGATACCGTTAAAGTACAAAGTCACAAAAACAAAGCTTCAAGGAAATCTCATACATTGCTGGCCGGAGTGGCTAGGGGAACATCTTGTCATCCTGCCTAACATTAAAATGTTTACATGTGGAGAAATTGCCGAGAGTCTAGACTGAATATTGTATGTCCCAGCTACAGTTGCAATATTGTGGCATGCAAAATGCCCTCATGGAAAAAGCATACTTCCCTTGATCCCTTTTCCACAACTGCCACACCTATTCAATCAAATATTTTTTGTCACTTCCATAAAATAACTGACTGAGAAATACAACATGGTATCTACAGTGTCGATATTTAAAATCAGACTTTACAACTGAAATACATCTATTTTTATTTTCCGATTTCTTTAGTAAAAATCTATTGAAAATGATACACAACACAATATTTATACTATTAAACTTTAGTCTATTCATTTATTCAATTTGAGAAGACATTTTAAAAGCAGACTCACCAGCATTTTAATGGCTTCATTATGTATATTTTTATACAATATAGCAATAGTATTATCTACTGCTGACAATATTTTACATCTGCCCTACCTTTTGTGGCTTTCAACAAATGATTACCTTTACCCTGTCTTTTCAGAGCACCACAAAGTACATTGTAACATCAGCAATACATTATGTAAATCATTTTGAGTGTCGATGTAGTATTCTGTGCTGTCCTCACTCACACTCCCGGGCCCTCTCCTTTGTGAGCCCGCTGAAGTACTTGTCGCGGAACGCGTTGTGCCCCTTATAAGGGTTTTGTCGCACATCTTGCATATGTGCATAACGATCAACCTCCTGGGGGGAAAAAATATGTTGTCATTCTCAACCACGCTGGCTTTTTGGAAAGCCCTCACTGGTGTCTCAATGTGACTCGTGGTGTCTCTTACGTATGCCAATATTATAGGAAAAATTACTCAACATATATTAAAATTGCATTAAAACTCATAAGAACAGTGTTATTGAAAAAACTCAAAAGTGAAAAAATCAGTAACATAAAAACAAAGTACAGTGCTTAAATAATTAGAAAGCAGAAAAAACCAACCACATTACAGCAGAAATTGAAAACTGTACAAATATAAGTGAATCTTAAATAAAACAAATTTCCGGTGACAAAAGTTAGCCCGACAATGTAATGAAAACATGTTTACACAATACTATAAATGCACTTTAATGTTCATACCGTGATTGAATATCCACATTATTCTAATATGTCAGTCACTCGATCAGACATCGATGGCTGATTTCTAATATAAATAGCCGAGTCGACCTCCATCTGTTTTTTTTACTCATTGATTGCGAGTCGAGCACCAAGCCACAGCACCACTTGGCCATCCTGACTGCAAATCTGCTGATGTTGGCAATGCTCACCTCAAAGTCCTTGATCTTCTGCATGGTGAGGAGGCGGCGGCCACTCTGGCTGTTGAGCATCTGCTCACAGTTGCTCACGAGCTTCAAGCACGGATGCCGGGGCACAATCTCCTCCGTGTAGCTGGGATGACGAGACAGTTCCACATGATCTGGTGGGGCTATCACTCTTGAAATATGAGTAACTCTTGAACGTCAATGTTGAAGCATTTCATGTTAATTAACCGGTTAAAAGGGCAGTGTACTTGGCTGCATAGTTCAACTCACTCAGGTCTGAAGACGGGCAACCAGTAAACAAGCCGCCCCCCATTCACCAGGTACTCCGCTGCAAAGTTGAGCAGATCCACAAAGATATCACTCAGATGGTATTCCCTGCTCTCGGGCATGTGGTTATCTGCGCTGAAACAAAAACAAAGCAAAACCAGCAGCTATTTCTCCACTTTGGCAGTGGCTTTATTAAAAATATACTGCAATAATTTCTTCAGAACAACCATTGCCGTTACCAATTTGAAGTTATTTCATTTTAGGCAAATAATCCAATATTAAATTACTTACACATCATCAGGGACTTTGCCATTTTCACCATACGATCCAATTTTTCTCGTGGACTCTCGGATTCCATATGGCGCTGTTGGTAAAAATAAATGTTAATTTACTTACAAGCTACATATGGTCCGAAAAACGTTCAACATACATATACATACAAAAAATGTAACGCAATTATTTGCCTATTTTTTGCTCACATACTGTGTGTAATTATATGAAGTCTTTATAATTGCAAGTGGAACTTATTGTATTGACACTGTATGGAAGATGGGCCAAGTCAACTCCCAACCAGTATTTTAAGCTGCAACTTTCTGATTGTGAGCTACTCACTCTACCACGGAGGCACTCAATACACCTGGCCGGACACTACACGTGAGTAACGCATTCATGGAACTAGGCAGAAAACATGACAGTGTATTGCCCCTATATAAAACATGAGTACTAAAGCAATCTGTTGTAAGAGATGTCACGGAAACTGCTTATACGGTCAGTGAGGATGGCATCAAAGAGTTGGTGTGGCCTCCAGATGGGACGCGAAGCATCTGACACCAGCACGTCTGCGTACAGCTGCTCCAGGCCATACTGTCGCAGGTTTGCACGGATGTTCTCGTCAGGCCCACGCCACTTCTGGTTTTTTCGGCTTGCCTTTCCTATAAAGGAAAGCATCGGGCATAGTCTAAAGCAATAACATGCACACATGGCTTTTGCTGCACAGATTCCTACATTATCATATTAAAATTATACTTCTTAGGCAGATTAGAGTTTGCAAAATGCATAATTAAAACAAGCCGCTTCTTGTTTGAGCTGCTCTGTGCTAGGAATTTGTTGGATATTAAGGCATCTCCTGTTTCCATTAAGACAATATGTCGCAGTGTGGCCAAGCAGTAGCACGTTTGACACTTGTTGCAAAAAGTAATGGTTCGAATTGGAGTAGGGAGTAGTTATCATGACACTTCTTTACCCGGGAAAGCCTCACCGAGTCTCATGACTCTTTCAGGAGGCTCTTGACGTGTTTTTGCAGTCGATGCGATGAATGCTACGTGTAATCTCAATTGAGTAATTGGTGGGTAATATTTCAAAATTTGGACCATGACACTGGCACACCATGGCCTACACTTGCAAATTACATCACAGGATCTTAAATGTCCACTGTGAAGATGGTGTATATTTATACGGCTGATACAACCGCAGTATCAGTGGGTAAAACTGCAGGCGTATTAACCATACAATACTAAGAGCCATCTGCTTCATAGTGGGCGGTAACATCCCGAGACGCCAATAGAAGAAAAGTGGGCCCTTGTATGCCGGCATCTTGGTCCAAATCAAAAACTCACTTGTAAATTACTTACTTGGGAAATACAATCATCGCTACCGACTGCAAAAAAACACTTGGCAGAACCCTCATAAAAAAGTCTTGAGACTTGGTGAGGCTTTCCTAGGTAAATGAGTTGTAATGTAGTGGAGCCTATACTTTAGGTTGATTGGTAACCCTATACTGTTTTTTTTCCTGGCCACTTTCCCTTCTAATATGAATTAATGTGTGCTGGTGAATTGCCAACAAATATGGGCAGAGCAAACTTAGATACTAGGGTGCAGAATTTAGAGATGTCAGTGCAGAGTGCACTACCAGTAATACACAATTCATTTGTGCATATTTCGAAAATAAGACAATGGAACTCAACGTTCCTCATAAGCTAGCCTGAACAGTTGAGTCCTGAGCTGTCGCTTGAAGGTGGACGATGCTTGGCTGCTGTGAATGTACGTAGCTGGTGCAGCAGCTACGTAGCTGGTGCAGCAGCTACGTAGCCCCCTCTTTCTTCACCAGCTCTCTGCCAAACGAATAGTTTCATCCCGCTGTGTTTGATCAGGAAATGGAGGTTCTGCCCAGGTTAACATGTTCCTGGTGAAATCGGAACATTCCACTTGAACATTATTTATACATCTTACATTGTAAAGCATCCATTGAATCCTGTACTGTGTGCTATCTGCTCAAGTGAGGTTTGATGTGAAGGTCATACCCAGCCCATGGATTGTGTTGTAGTCAATGTCGCTGCCCATGACAAATGCGCCAAACCGAGCACAAGCTACCAGCAGGCTCCCTGCACACAGGCAAGATTTAAGACACATGGCAAAAAACAATGCTGTAAATTATTTTTGAGTAAAAAGCCAGCACAGCATGTGGTTGCAAAATAGAAAATACTCTTTTTCAATTATGCACAATGCCTATGTTTCCATCAGGGCTAATAGAACTCACACAGGACAAAACATCTGCTATGTTATGCACTCGACATCATTCTGACTGTTATTTACACGTGGAAATAAGCTTACAGGGCTTAGGAAATCACTTTCTATTTTAATGCATATTTGCATGGAGCTGGAATAAAAATTTTACATTCATCATCAGCCATGATAAATCCATTGGTCGAGAGGCTCCCCCAAGCCATTTTCCATCTCTCATGTTCCTACAATGCAGCTATTGATCTGCAATGCAACAACAAACCTGCACAAGATCTGATTTCATCACTCCATCTCTGCATTTGATGGGACTCTTGGGGATGTTCTTTCCTTTGGTTGCCACTCCATCAGAAGACTCAACCACCGACGATCAACCCTTCTTTCGACATGTCCTATTACTTGTCTTAAGGCAATGTCTCTAACTTATGTGTTCTCTAATACGTGTTGCTGTTTGTCTCTATGTAATTTCAAGCATGCACCTGTTCCATACTTCTTTGCAAACCTTTTATAAAAACATACCTTATGCACGTGTATTGTAAAATACCGAGTAACAATCATAAAAACAATAGTAACCTGGTCAAGTTATATAGCAGTGCCATACTCAGCATTGTGAAACGCTGAGTAAGGTACAACTATATAACTTTCCACATGTACCAGTGACTGAATTGAAAACTACACACTCGTTCTCTTATATAAATAGTTGGCAAAGATCATTGGAAACAAATCATGACAAACTTAGAGGCCAATCAACCGTGAGAATGGGCAGGGTTTATTAAAGGTTTCTCTACTATTGACTACATACATACAGCAAAAGCTCTGTTATCCGGCACTTCACCATACGGAATGCTCTATTAACTGGCATCTATCAGATGGCAATACGAATCTTCCTTCACGTATCTGGGAAAAAATCTGACAGCCAACTGGCATCTTGCCATGCATGCGCTTACCATAGATCTGTTGTTAATGGGAGCTTCAGGATACTGCCAAATGGTGGTCGCAGAAGTCTATACATACAGGACTGTACTACTGTGTATTGTACTCTAAACGGCTCCACTGCTTCTCCACAATCAACATAGAATGCTCTACAACTGATTGGTGAGTACCTCTGTAAAATTATTGTTTCTTAAATCATGGTTACAATGTAGGCTTAGTTTCTTTCTTGAAAAGTTTTACGTACTTGGAAAATTTGGTGAACATAAGTATAATTCTCAGATAACCTGCATATTTGATTAACCGCGATGTATTGACATCGCAACCACCACTTGAATGTGGATGCAGTACCGGCCCTAGTGAGGCTCGGTGAGCACTGACAGTGATGGATGGCACCACACTCGGCGTGCAGTGCTAGCCCCTACAGGATAGAGTGCGTGAGTGCCGGCCATGGAATAGGGTTACAAGGGGCCATGACACTCTGCTTGACCCTGGAGGACACGTGACCGGTGTAGACCGGTGGTGTCTACACGGGAGCCCCCAAAAGGGGGCTAGGGGTGATCACGTGTCGGGTCAAGATGCTATTCGACGATTCGAGAAAGTGGTCAGGGCGAAGGGCGGAGCGAGCCCCGCCACACAAGATATAAGCCGGGCCCCCAGAGGGGCCGGCTGCTGTTGTTATCCTGACGAAACCTATGTTCTACGTCCAAGAAGAGTCTCCAACACGTGAGCCTGGACCCAAGCTGTGGTCCTGTCCGTGGTAGCCAGTTACTGTGTGATTAGTGTAGTTAGCCTGGTGGTCACCACCATAGGTTGTATAGTGTTTAACCAGTGTTGGTATTAAATAAGTGTGCTGCCTCCAAAGAGTACGTCTGTGACTCAGTTTGAGCCCACCACAAATGCATTTCACTTGAAATTGTGCCTCGTCTTTAGATTATAAAAAACTTCCCATTCAATAGAAATCGATGCAGTCACCCAAACTCTCACAAATCTATTTAAGGCCAATTATATATTTTAGTAACATTAACGTTCCAATATCTGATTACTTCCACTCACTGTATCATAAGAACACTGGAGCATAAACAATCAAGCGAACTACAGTCATCCTCGCAGTGGCTTTTGACTAGTCATTGAACAAAGACGGTCACTGCAGCACACACTTTCAGGTGCGCTTCTGCGGCCGTCTGGAACGCTCTTCCTTCTGATATTTGGGAGCAACTGGAACTATGCACCTTTAAATCTGAATTGAAAACTAATTTGTTGAGAATTGGTTTATGTGTTTAGTTTTTTGTCCTTCCCCCGCACCTCCAATGAGCATGGTTGGATACCTATAGTGCGGAAGGAGTTCAACATACATACTGGGCAAATGTAAGCTGAATACATCTGCTCCCTATGGGTAGACTACTAATATCGTACCAGTGCCAACGAATGGGTCGCACACAAAGTGCCCTGGTTGCACTCTTGCGTGGTTAGCCATGATGAAGGCCAGGCCGGCGTCCATGCTGGTGTTGCCGATGAAGTGACGCGTCTTCACACTGTAGCTCCGCAGTAAGTCACGCTGTCCATCCACCAGCTGTTTAAAAGATGGCACCATATCATATTAACCACCACTGAATAATAAGCCTATTTTTTCAGTGCCACATTCATTTGTTTGAACTTTAATGTGGCTTTTTGTGTTTAGTGTATTGTCCTTCCCCGCACATTCAATGAGCACGGTTGGCTACGTATGGTGCGAAAGAAGTTTAACATACATATATATATTCCGCACATCTCTCACATATTGAGTCCATGAAGCAGTGGTTAGATATGGGATTGGTACCAGGATTTATAAAGCAATCTAGCACACTTCATTGAGTGTAGTGACTTACTACATGCTTGTAGATGTTTACATAGCGTGGACCTTTATGACCAGTAGCTTTACAGTGCTAATTATTCTTGACTACCACTTACATGTGGTTTTTTTATTATAAAATGTAATTGTGTAGAGTCTGTTGTGTCTGTTTTCGCTTTTGTATATGAATCTACCTCTTTATTTGTTTGTTTGTATTATCTAAGCAGTCTGTACTTTGAGGTTCTGCAGTTAGCGCTCGGAGAAATGTGTGGATGGTGGCAATTGTTAGAATAGGGCTGCGGGAAATTGTGAGTTTTTTGTGGATATTAGGAGTTGTGGATAATAGGGTCACGGCTAAGAGGAGTTCTTCTGTATAGTCTATAACAGGTTACAACTACCCTTCGAAAAGTCCGTCATGCATTTTTATTCATGTCTTGGGGACACAAAAACACAAGTGTCAATTCCATCTGTTACCTCATAATGGTACCAATTCACCTATTAACCTGTCTGACCCATGGACTAAATGTGCACAGCATATGTTTTGGTTATATGTGATGCCCATATAAGTGTCACTTGACACATTATTGCTAAAGATATAAATATATAAGGCACTACACTGAATCATTACTGTTTGCTTTAATTGATGTATAGCAAGATAAAAAGTTTTTTTAATCATTGGAGCCTACATTCACAAAATTGTGTACATTTGATCAAATACAATGCATACTATAAATATACACAGTGCAAGTTGGTCAGCCAACACCTACCCATCTGCCGAAGTAGAGGCAGAGAGGGTCTGTGGGAACGTTGTTAGGGTCCAGCCCATAATCTTCCAGGAGGAAAAAATTGTGATCTGGGTTTTTTAAGTCCACTCGCCCATTAAACGGAAGGACATCCAATGACTGAAACAGACAAAATAACAAAAAATATGCTTTGTTAAAGGCCACTGTACACACAACCTTTAATTTGGCTGTAAAAGTATGGACACATTGCTATGCCTGACACAAACACACAACCATGCAAATGTTTTTTTAACATAGAAAGCATTGGTGGCAAAAGTGGATGTTGGCAAAGTCTCATAAAGACAAGCTGTCACCATACCCAAGACCACTCGATTAACAATGCAACCAGCACCCTCTTGTATGAGCACACCAAAGTCAAATCCTTACCTCAATCCTTTGCAGACGCTCGTTGTACTGGAGAGTCTTGTTAAAAGTGTGTATCGTGATCTTGAATGAAGATTCTGGGTGGCACAGCTGCCTCTGTTAGAAAAGCCGGGTCATCCCATATTCATAGCCTGGTACAGACTGATAATGATATTGCACTTTGAGCAGTGAAATCAAGGATTACAAATGAAAAAAAATCATCTCGGTGCATGCCTTTGCTACCCTGGAGAAATGTGTTTTCATTATATACAATAACTAGCTTTACTACCCGGCTTCGCCCGGGGCTTGGATTAACTATGCCCGGCCACCTTTGTCTCCCCAGTGGCGATGTTCACACACCACAGCAGTTATTCGTTTGAGACTGAGTCGACCTAGGGGAGGCCCAGGAGCGGTTAAAATAATCGTCACCGGTGGTGGCCATGAGCAGGAATCAAACTCGGGTCATCGGGTTCGTAGCGCAGCGCGCGAATCGCTACGCAGTCGCTGCCCCCCCCCCCCCACACACAGGATAAAGACAAAGATCCCCCGTGCAGCCTGTGAGACTGTAGGGGGCAAGTGCTGTTAGCGAGCACCTATGAAGGCCGGCACGAAGAACGCCTTAGACCTGCAACACATTTGTATTTCACTTTACCCGCGATCAGCAGGCACACTCCGTTACGCTTCCGCACACGCGGGTCACATGACAGATGTGACGTCACAGCTCACTTGCTGTGCAAAATATATGCATTATTGCGCCCCGCCCCCCCAAAAACACAAAAGTTTATTTTTATAATGTGTGCATGGTGTACAGTCTGGAAAGTACCCACATGGCAAATTTCAAGTTTGTTGCATGTCGGGAAGTACGCTAAACATTTTGAACAGACACACAATCACAAATTTCCATTTTATAAATATAGGTTAGTAGACAAATGTATAAAATAGGCAATTCTAACAAAGTATTAATGTGAAACTAGAGAAAGATATTGACTTTCATAGTAGTAATATCATGTATTACAAATAATAACAGCCACCATTTTCCTTTTTGCGAAACATTGATAGAACCATGATTAGGGTTCTGTCAATTTTCTACACCAAATCTTCCATTCACCCTTGTGCTTTGTTCTAAATAAGTCACATTGATCATCATTGTGCTCTCCGTTAGAAATCAATACAAAGGAACTTGCATTTGTTTAAGTTTTTATTCACCACCTTTGCTAAGGACCGGCCAATCTGTAAATTTGACTTGTTCGTAACAGATGTAATCCTCTGCAACCTGAGATGCAAAAAGAAAATCGTCATGTAAGGGGGGTTAACACTAAACTTATGAACATGTCCTTATTCCTTCACCCAACAGTTTCATATTTTACACTTGTTTACCTAGAAAAGCCTCACCGAGTGTCAAGGACTATTTGAGGAGGGTTCTGCTAAGTTTTCACAGGAGAGAGCAACATGTGCTGTGCTCTACGTTTCCCAATTAAGTAATTTGAGAGTGCATTTCAAATGGGAATTATGACGCCAGCAAACAATGGCCTACTCTTATTCGAAGGATGCTCCAAGATTTTTAACGTCCTCTGTAAAGCAGACGATGCGTAGTGTTGTATGTTTAAGACATGCACATAATCCACCAGGGTGGCCTGCTCTTTCAATCCTGGTCTCCCTTGGAAGAGAGATTTATCATCTCAATGAGCTCTCACCTAGTTGAAGATGAAGGCTGTGATTGAGAATGCTTTACAAGTGAACATTGAAAGTAAAAAGTAAATAATAAATGTTCTCACGATGTGCTCAGATTGTGGTTTGAGTGAAGCCAGCAGCTCCTGATGGGTCTTCCCCATTCCCCACAGCTCTATAGCAGACCTATAGGGAAATACAAACCAGTATATTACCATATTGCTGGTGAGAACTTTACGCCGAAAGGGAAAGACAGTTATTCATGTTGCAGTGCTTACTTGGCGCATACGGTCCTTTCCATGACTTTTCGAATTGTTTCCTCCGATGTTCCCAAAACAACCAAAAATGGGCCCTAGTAAAAGCATTCAGAGCATAAGAGTAAAATCAGAAATGTAACATTTTTATTTGATAAGTCGATGTGTGTGCAATATGCGACACGACGACTGTTCACACCAGGATTATACATGTCCACCTCACAGATAGGTGGCTCTGTGGGAGCGTGACAGCGGTCGTGCGAGCAAGTTTAAATATTTAATATACAGTCATACCTCGGTATACGACCGCTTTGGAATACGTCGAATTTGGTATACGTCGTGTTTTGACGAGAAAAGAAATGTCTTGGGATACGACATCTTGCTTAGGATACGACGCGCTTGCTAGAACTTGAATGGATGAGTCACCGCATACCCGCGTATACCCCGTTCACGACTGAAACAAAGCACGGCTCCTCAGTCTGCCTGTACAGTAGATCTCGTTCAGTGCACAACCCTTGATATAACTCTCGGTGAATTTTCACGTGTTTTTTGTGATGTAAACATTTTTTTCAATTTATATTAATTTATGTATGCATTTATTTTAATTTATGTATGCATTTTAGTCATAAGTAGTGTCTAAATTATTTTATACAACCCCATTAATGTATAATATGCCATATAAAATATAATTTCTTATACTCTGGAACGGATTATTTCCTTTCCCTTTATTTCTTATAGGAAAAATTCGTTTGGTACACGTCATTTTCGGTATAAGTCCTACCTTCTGGAACGAATTAACGACGTATACCGAGTCATTCAGACGCTGTCTTACCGACAGACCGGTTCTTCACCTGAGGACGGCTGCTTGCGTTGTGGCCGAAACGTCGTGAGAATTATTTTATTATGTTTTATTTTTATTATTTCCCTTCTACATGACTTTACCGAAAGAACCAAGAAGACGTATACCGAGGTTCCACTGTATTAAGTTTTTCAGCCAGTTGGCCAAGATTCGGCAAAACTTAGCCCACTTTTCACCCAGGTAATTTTAGAGCACTAAGTGTTTCTAACCTAATATTAAAACAATAGCATACTTATTAATCACAAACAACATACATTACTTTTGATTAAAAGCTTTCGTGACTGCAGAGATTCATATTCTTGGTTCTTTCGGTAAAGTCACGTAGAAGGGAAATAATAAAATAATAAATATAAAACAATGTTTTATAAATAAAATAATATAAATATATGTATATTATTTTATTATTTCCCTTCTACGTGACTTTACCGAAAGAACCAATAACATATATTACTATTTAAAAAAAAATCATAAAACCTAAAATCTCATCAAATATTGGTTGGGGGGTAGCTCAGCCCATCATCCACCTGGGGTTGACAAAATAGTATCACTGTGTGGAAAGTTAATGGTTGTTTTCCTCTGGATATGTTCACCCTTACCATAGGGATGAGGAATTTCCACCACTGGTTCAGGGCTGTCAACTGGAGATGAGCACCACCCGAATTCTCATTCGAGCAGGAAATCCCATTGACTGTTTGAGGTTTGCATGCACTGTGCCAACGTTGAGGACAGTTTAAACCAGCTAATGGACATCTCAGAGTTTACAGACAACTGATCGGTTCACAGAAATGGAGTTCTCATTTTGCATACCCCGACAAGAAGTTGTCCATGCACACAAACATAAATATTTTATCTTAAAATTCTTACTTTGTCAGAACTTCCACCTGTGTTGCATTCCAAGTGCTTTCCGCACACGGAGAACAGCGCCCTCAGCTCCTGCGGGAATGACCACGCACTGCTGTCACGATGTGGTGTTCAGACAGAAACGCTGGGCATTTCGCGAATTATTTGTTTATGTAAACAATGAAATAGCACTTGTTTTAAGCAAACGGACTGCGAGTTCTGATCCTTGCAATATATTAATGTCATATGCTGTTGCTGCAATCTACAGACATTATTAATTTGTGTAAAGCACACACAAAATGTCAAAAATATATTTTCAAAACAAATTCCAAACAAAGTGTGTTGGCATATCTGGGAGGTCGCATGCCTTCTGTGCAGCAGTTGCGGAATATTACAGAGAAAAGAAGCGTTGGTGTCGCGTGGTGGCATCAATGGCTTTGGCCATGATGACACATTCAGCTTGACATACAAAAATGTAAGCAAGACATAGTCACCGCCATTCTGAAACCCGAAAAGCCACAAGATTCACCCTCCAGCTACAGGCCAATATCCCTCTGGCCCTCCACCTCCAATCTTATGGAACGTGCCAAGCAATGTCTGCCATAATTGACAGTCGGCCCCCAACTACCTCCCGAACAATCCAGATTTCGAACTGACCGTAACTGCTGCAAACGGATCGTTGCGTTCACAACCCTCACAGAAGCTGGTTTTCAATGTCAACAGAAAACTGGTACAGCAATGATTTTTTTACCTTTCTGCTGCCTACGTCACCGTTTGGCATCATGGCCTGCTGCGGAAGATGGCCAAACTCATCAATGGTGTTCTATTGTACAGTACACCGAATGGACACGATGCTCAGTAACAGTACTTTCAGAGTACACCTTGTTGATATACACAGCCGCAAGATATTATGAACAGTGGCCTCCCTCAAGGCTCGGTACGAGAAACATGACTTTCTAACACGGGACCTGGCATGTCTATCAGGATAGGCATATAATGCGTGGGTGCTGTCGCTGCTGTTGAACCAATACACATGTCCATACTCAATATTAACCAGTCCGGTGGCTCAGCGATAGCGCAAGCGGCTCGCAAGCGTGAAGGTTGTGAGTTCAAATCCTGGTTTGAGGATTGACGCAGCCCTTCATCCCTCCGATACAACGGGTACCAATGTATCGGCAAGTCAGCAGTGACTGTCCTCTTGAAATACTTGCACCCGGCATAGAAAAGTGGAGTTTAAACCACTGACCCAGGGCTGCAAACAGATTAATATCGCCTAAATCCTCATTTGACCAGAAAATGTCTTTAACTTTATTGAAATTTGAGTCAACCTTTCACCTGCACGGCCAAGCACATGTGTCCACTATGGTTCAGTCTAGTAACAGAGCCTCCCTGGGCCGAGGTGCGTGCTGGGAGAGACCGCGGGAGCGTGAGGTGTCACTGGGGCGAGCGGGGCGAGCGGGGCTCACGGGCAGCCTGAACTCCACGTGCTCCTGCGCCAGCAACAGCAGGAACCGGCCGCACGTGCTCGTCGTGGAAGCCGCCATGTTGACGAGTGACGCTATCGCGTAAAGTTGCTGTAAAGCGATGACGTCATCAGCGAGCGCGGCGCTCCAGCGACCGTCGCGCGCCCGTTGCCGTGGAAACGCCCCGATCATGGCGCTATGACGTCTTAAAATCTGGCGGATGTCGTCACCAGCAAGCGACTTAGTGACGTCATCACGACTCGTCTGCCCGGCGGCTTCACGCAGTCGCAACGAGGTTCGGCTCCGGGTTGTAATGAACTCAACTAAACTCTCGCGACGTTCTGGTTATTGCTAAGCGCGCTATCGTCTTCGCGTTATTAGGGCACGACTTTGTTGCGTAAAATGTACCCCCTCCCAAGTGGAAACGGGGCAAACATGAGTACCGATTTTCGGGAAGTCGGTCCACACAGACAGAAGTGGCCGTTTTCTGAGTCCTCGCCACCGTCGTGTGCATGCGGCGGCGGCGTCGTGGTTGCCGACTCGAGGCGACTTGGCCCTGCTGTCGTGATGCGGTGTGGGGATTGTATATGCGTTGGGGCGTCTGACCGCTGTCACGGATGTGCAGTCGCGCTGGGGAGTGATGATGCATTGCGGAAGAGATCTCATGTCGCCTACAGTTTGGGCCTTGCATATTTTTGGAGCGATGCAATTATTTCAAAATCATAAACCATGGGCCCCAACCATAATCCATTGGTCCCTGACCAAAAAAATCCACTTGTTGGGGCCACCTTTAACCGTAAAAGGGAATTATGAAATAACCTTATTTATGAAGTATTTTACCGCATACTCCACTTTTACTATCCACACACAAGCTCGTATTACTCAATATGTCCGCCTCTAGTGGTAGCCAATTCTGATTGAGCTCATGGACTACGTATTAGGAATGTGATTTATATATTTTAAATCTGAGACGCACAAAGCAAATAAAAACAAGCTCTGATAATATATGCAGAGCATGTTTTTTTGCATGTTCACCACAAGCACGCGTGGTTAATGCAAACAGAATTCCTTGAAAAAGGATTCTGTTTGGTGTTTCAACATCTTAACACCTGTTTCATTGCCAGAAAAGGTAAAACCTGTTGTTATATCGTATTGGATGGCCTGCGACACCAACATATCTACTTGTAAACAACAGCGGCGTTCTTCGGTGGAACTGTGAGAGCACCTGACTCGGGTTCAAGTTGAGCACCGCCCGTTGCTCATTTGAGCAGGCGGACGTGTTTGAATGACCTGTGAACTCTTCTGTGGCCTTGCGAAGACAACTCGAGGCGCCGGATTCCTCTCGATGGCGGGGCTCGAGCTGCTGTTCGAGGGCGCCGCAAGAGGCGTGGCGTCTCCCTCAGACGCGCTGCTTTGCTTGCTGCACTGGGAGCTGGTCACAGCTGGGTACAAGTGCAGGGGGCTCGGCGAACAGGTGAAAACCGCCTCCCCACCAACCCCTTTCCTCTTCTCATTACCACCCCCATCAGTAACAGCTCCGCACTCATGACCAGCGTAATCGCAATTAACAACAGCTCCAGTGATGTCTTTTGGGGACCGGAAGTTGTGTATTCCTCTTTTTGACGTAAAACTTTCGTGACTGCAGGAATTAATATTCTTGGTTCTTTCGGTAAAGTCACGTAGATAGAAAATAAAAACAAAAGTAACATTTAAATGAAAAAATAATACAAGCCAAAACCCCACGACGTTTCTAACGCAACACAAGCGGTCTTCATCAGGCGGAGAGAAAAGAGGGGGCACGCCTCCACATGCAACTGCTGCCAAGGGCTTTCAGAGTGAGCAAAGCTGTGCGGCGTAAGCAGCATGAGCGGGGCAGCCAGCGCCAATGTCGGACCAAACCACCAGAAGTACAAGCAAAGCGAGTGCGTTAGACAATGGGGGAGGGAGGGGGTAGAGATGGGGGGGGGCATTGCACCTCGCTACACACAACCACACTGCTGACGGTAGAGGTTGACAAGAAAACACAAATCAGGTCATGACCCAAAGTGGTTGATGATATATTTCCAATGGTTGCTGAGTTTAAAACCCTCGTCTCGGTTTAAATTGTGTCTGTATATGGATGGCTTCGTGAACGAATCTTTGTTGATAGCCAGTCGGCTTGCAAAGTGCCGTCATCTTATAGAAATAAATTTCATGTGAGCCAGCCGCATTAAAGTAATGATCAGCCACGGCAGAAGTGTTGGTCCTGCCGTTTTTCAGATCTGCCTTATGTTCACGAACACGGTCTGATACATGTAGTTTAGTTTCCCCAATGTGACTGCTGCCACAGATACAGCTTAGTTTGTAGACGCCGGAATATTGCATGTCAGGGATCTTGTCCTTCACAGATGGGATCAGATCACGAATTTTATGCACTGTGTTAAATCGTATCTGAATCTTCTGTTTGTTCAAGATTTTGGAAATATTTTTGGTTATCCCTGCTATGTAAGGCAAGGTGATGGTTTTGATTGGATCTTCAGATGGCTCCTTCCTCATGGGTGGGGTGATGGCTTTGCGGATTGTGTAGTCAATATTCATTCGCCTTGAGAGCTTGGTGTACGTGTTTGAGTTCACTGGTTAGGTGTTCATGGTCGGAGATACATTGAGCTGTTGGGTGTAACGTTTTGATGAGGGAATTCTTCTGGGATGGATGGTGGTGGGAATCAGGTTTTAGGTAGGTGCCAGCATGGGTTACTTTCCTGTAGGCAGAATGGCTCATTGAGCCATCTGGTCTCTTTTTGATTAAGACATCCAAGAAAGATAGCATGCCATCCTTTTCTACCTCCATGGTGAATTTTATTGCTGGGTGTATGGAATTGATGTGGTTGAGCAATTGTTTCAAAGCCGGTCGGCCATGTGGCCATATGACAAACGTGTCATCTACGTACCTCTTCCACAAGGACGGGCGTAGAGTGAATGCCTGGATGGCGTCTGTCTCAAATTTTTCCATGAAAATGTTGGCCACAACTGGAGATAAGGGAGAACCCATTTGGGGTACCTTCAGTTTGTTTGTAGAATGTTCCACCCCAGGTGAAGTATGTATTGGTGAGGCAGTGTCTCACCAGGGCTGGTACATTAGCATTCAATCCTTGTTGGACCAAATCTCCAATTATTGCAATGGTTTCAGGCACAGGAACTTTGGTGAACAAAGAAACTACATCGAAACTCAAGAGCAAATCACCTGGGGACAGTGAGATGTCTTTAATTGACGATACCAGATGAGCTAAGTTAAGAACAGAAGAGGTGGTCTTACCAGTGAATGGCTGCAAGGTCTCAGATATCAGGCCAGTTTGTAGGTGGGTGAGCCAATGGTGTAGACGATAGGATGAAGGGGTGTACCTTCTTTGTTGATTTTTGGTCGGCCATATAGTCTGGGTGGTCTAGCAGCAGAGGGTTTTAAGGAAAACAGTTTGGTCTGTTCAATTAATGAAGCTGAATCAGTGATGATACTGTTCGTTTGTGTAACGAGACAGTTGGTGGGATCTCTTTTAATTTTAGTGTATAGCTACCATCATTAAGTAGGTCCTGAATTTTGTTATTGTACACGTTTTTTTAACAATGATGACCATGGCATTGCCCTTTACGGCAGAGAGGATGACGATATCTTCCCTCTTTTTTAATTGAGACAACTCAAAACGCTCCTCCTTACTGATGTTGCTGACTGGTATCTTAGCGCTTTTGAGGGTTGCAGTGATTTCAGATCTTGTCACGTCTGCAGTGATGTGTCCCAAACCCTTAAGAGCTACATCGACCTGAGCAATAATGTCATCCACTGGTATGTGTATGGGGGTGACTGCGACTTTACCGAAAGAACCAAGAATATGTATTCCTCGTTTGTTTTAGGTAAAACACAGCGCTCGGGGCTCCCTTTTCTGGTACTCTTAAGTAGTGACAGCCTGTAAGTATGTAACTTTGCACCAGTGCACCTGGATGCAATGACATACAGTTTGAGACCAATGTTGGGTGGCAATAGCCATACTCATGTGTTTTTTTACTTAAGACTATTTCACTGCTATTCAACGAGTGGTGACCAAGGGAAGGCCTAAAAGCAGATGCTATGAGGGCCGAGGATAAAAAGGCATTGGCAAGGTGCAGTGGCAATCGACCTCTTTGGCCATGATGACGTATTGGTCTTGATTCAAAAACACTATTCTCTGTTATCATTTGCAATGCTCATTACTCATTTGTGTCGCTTGAATTTTTTTCTTTTCTGATTCAGCAGTTTTGGCAGACTGAATTATAGGATGTATGCACATATCACAGTGGTCCTGAGGCTGGTTGATATGTTCTTCACAATACCGCGTTGGATATTCTGGTTGCACAACAAGATGATAAATGTTCCGGCTTGTGGCGAGTACATTTCCATGATTTCATTTTGCAGGCTGGTGAAAGTGACAAGAACAGTGAATTGCTTCCACAAGGATGGAATGACGTCAAAGACGTTTACACACTGAGATATGCGTCCAAAGACCGCTCATTACTTTTAAAGGTCATCCCCATTGAGAGCGAAGCTATTATCAATTTAATGGCAAGTACTTCTCATCCCATTTGTACAGCTCTATTCATCGAGTAATTTATAATGCAATGTTTTTACTAAAAACTAAAATGTAAGCAATGTATCTGTTTCAGCGAAAAACCAACAAAATTATTGTCTAAACATATCCTGACATTCTGCAATACTCTAGACATTTTTAGCAAGCCGTAATTTGGCAACAAGTAAACAGTAATTTTAAAGGATTGCGTGGTCTTTGTCAAGCCTGGCATGTTTTTAAAGTTCTTTACAATACAATTGGTCTTCTGTATGGAGTAGATTTAGATTTTGTTGTCTTTTTGCAGGATACAAAAACTGAACAGGTAGTTGATTTAACATTGAAGCTGACTGAGTACATTGATGAGGACAATCTCCAAGATTTTGAAAGGTAACAAACGGTTCTGCATTTCGTGCCTGAAATAAGAGTTAATAAGAGTTGTACAATGACCGATATGTAATGTTTAAACATCGTCCAATTTGAAGGAATTTCTTCGATGGATTTGTTTTCCTTGATTTTTGTACAAAATTACTCAGTGTTTTTACTGGATTGGTACATGTGTAGTGACATCGCGAATGTCACTGTGTGGTGCCGGCCCTAGAGAGGCACGGCGTGCGATGCATTGCCATCGCGGGCACCCCGTACATGTGGGTGTAGTACCAGCCCTAGAGGGGCTCTGTGAGCGCTGATAGAGAGCGCTGAGTGGCACCACACTCGGTGTGCAGTGCTGTCCCCTATAGGAGGGGGTGTGAGGGTGCCATGGCACTCTGTTTGACCCCAGAAGGCACGTGGCGGGTAAAGTCTCCACAGGGGCCCCAAGCGGGGGCTAGGGGTGGTCACTTGTCGGGCGAGATCCTGCTAAAGGATTCGAGAAGGTGGTCGTGGCCAAGGGTGGGGCCAGCCACGACCAGTGAGAATATAAACCGGGTCCCCAGTGGGACCGGGGTTCAGCGGTGCTGTTGTTATCCTGAAGATCTACGTTCTACGTCCGAGAAGAGTCACCAACATGTGGACCTGGACCCTAGCCGGGGTCCTGTCCGTTGTAGCTACTCCCAGTGTGATTAGTGTAGCTAGCCTGGTGGTCCACCACCATAGCTGCCACTGCGATTCAGTGGCCTAAAATAAAATGTTTCACTCCGGATGACCGCTGCTAAGTATGATCTGTGTTTTGATTTGGTGTACTGATCTTAAAGGTGCATTGAAAAATGTTGATACTCCAACTAATGTTCCTGCTGTTGTGGAGTGACTCATGCAGCCAGCTATGGCTGCAGGGTTTGGTGGTACATGTTGTTCACGTCGTTTATTGTGAAAATTTGGTCACAGTTCCTATGATCACTGTTACATTGCTTTTATGGCTTTATTTTGGTGATTTAGAAAACTTTTTTTTTTGGCCATGTTTGTTGTAGTACGGAGTTAGACTGATGGCCTTTATCTAAGTTGTCTTGTGGTTGTTGTTGTTTGACTTGCATCCCGCTGGGATTTTTGCATACAGCGTTGGTGTACGGTGCTTTTTCTGCAATATTTTGCTGTCTTTTCTTGGATTTTCTGTTTGCACATAGTCACATAGTCACTTTAAGATGTTTTCTTGTTCATGTTTTTGTTTTTTGTTTGTTGCGGTTGCACCCGATTCAAGAGCCGAATGGCTCACAGGGCTATACCTAATAAATGAAACTGAAATCTGGTAAAGGGGCAGTTACCCCTTTGCATTGTATTGACACCTGTCCTTGCCTGTTTACATGCAAACTCCCTAAATCCATGTTTATATTTGTGTAACTTAATTTTCCATGGACAGTTTTAAAGTAATTTGTCGGAACCAACTTTCATCACAGGAAATATATGCAACTTAAATTGATTCATGTTTGTGCAGTTTCTCTTTTGTAATTGGGTAGTTTTGCTCTAATTTCTATTTGGTGGGTTTTTCTCTGAATTCCTTCAAAAAATTGTTGTACCTTTGTTTTATGTTATTGCTTTTGTTATTTTGGTGACCCAAGTCACTTGCAAATGAGACTATCCATTGTCTCTTGGGTTCTTACTTGGTTAAACAATGTGCTTGAAACTTTAAAAACTTGCTGTTTTTTTTTTATACCATCCAGAGTTTTCAAAAATCAAGATGGTCTCCGCAACTTGGTGGCCAGAGAACTTGTGGAGCCACTGGGAGGAAGGGAGCAGAGGCCACAACAGGCCAAAGCCTCAGGTTCACAGCAGGAGGGCAGTCGCATTGACCCCCTCAGAGATTACGGACCTCCAAAGAACCTTCCACATGGCTTCCGACCACCAAAACAACCTGACTGGTCAGTGCTTATTACCATGACACAATACTCTTTGGTTCTTTCGGTAAAGTCACGTAGGTAGAAAATAAAATGAAACAAAAAATAACATCACGACATTTCCATCGCAACACAAGCGGTTGTCCTCAGGCGGAAAAAATAATCCAGCAGTGGAACTGCTGAACCAGCGAGAGAGCTGTTACAACAAGAGGTTATTTATATGGCGATGGGCAAGCAAGCGGAGTCTGAGCTGGAAAGGAATTTCATCCCTGGACGCAAGCACGTCAGTTGTGTTAATGGGTTAGATTAGGGAGAGAGATTAGCATGAAATTAACTTCCGTCGCCACATAAGAGAATCGTCGCATATGTGAACCACAGCAGTGTTAATGGGAGATTAGCACTCTGTTGATGGGAGAGATTAGGCAGGGAGATTAGCAAGTTAATGTCATGTCTATGTGTAACATATAGCTTGTTGACCAATGGTAATCTTTTCCCATGAAAAAATAGCTATCTACTAATTGTGTGCTTTTTGCAGGTCAGATCCTGTGAACCCATTTTCAGTAGGTGGAGCTGACCTGGATCCATTTGGGTAAGATCCTTAGCCAGAACGTGTGTTTTGTTTTGATTACTGATTTTCTGATTCGATGACTAGTTCATTCGCACCTCCGATTAGCACGGTTGGCTACATATGGTGCAAAAGAAGTTCAACATACGTACACTATTCCAGTAGGTAACAGAAGACATGCTTGGCTTTATATATACAAAAAAATGTACGTGATCTAACCCAAAAAAAACCCTGTATTATGGATATTGGTTGTGAAAGCTTACGCGTTGAACATAAAAAAAAATTGTTTAAAGGTGGAGAACAACTAAGAGCAAAAACTAAATGAATTATAAACAAATTAGACACATTACAGTAGAACCTCTGGTCACGACCATAATTCGTTCCATACCTTTGGTCGCAACCCGATTTGGTCGTGACTCGAACCTAATTTCCCCATTGGATTGTATGTAAATACGATTAATCCATTCCAGACTCCTACGAACTGTATATAAATATTGTTTTTAAAGATTTTTTAGCACAAAAATAGTTAATTATGCCATGGAATTCGCAGTGTAATAGTAAACTAAATGTATAAACATTAAATAACACTGAGAAAACCTTGAACAACAGATAAAACTAACATTGCCGCCTCAAGGTTTAGAATCGTTCAACAAGATGATTGCTTCGTCTGCTACATCAGTGGGTCGATTCTGAGAGAGAGAGAGAGAATATTCGTATGAGCAATTCGTGTTTCTATTGAAAGTAAGTTAACAGTAATATTTGGGTACAGTATTGTTTTTGGAATCATTCACCATAATATCGAATGAATGTTTACTTCACCGCATCATCGTATGAATGATGCGAGAAGAGATTAACGGGTTCTTATGTTAGCGATTTACGTACTCAGCGCTTTCGCTCTAAATACTGCACAGAGTTCACAGCGAATGAGCGCACGTCTGACCGAGACCGATTACTAAGCGAGACGGACTGAGCAAGCGGCCACATGTGGGTTGCTGTTGTTTGTTTGGGTTGCTGTTGTTTGTAAACAACAGCAACAAACAACAGGAACAAGAAATTTGGCGCTTACAAAACAAAATGGCGCGGAAGGGGAAATCGGCCGCGGCCGTGTTTGATCGCCACCCGAGTTTGTGTTCGTGACCAGATTCAAAAATTTTGTGGATTTTTTGGTCGGAACCCGATTTGGTCGTGGTCAGAAGCGTTCGTGACCAGAGGTTCTACTGTATTATGTTTTTGTATTGTCGGAACATAAGTGGTGGAACATTTTTGCTTGCACTTTATTGTAAACTTGCCCTGTGCTTTTTAATGCAGACGTGGCCAAGGTGGAATGTTGATGGACCCCAGGCACCGTGGTCCCAGACCTCGGTTTCCTGGTCAGCTACCCCTGGGCTCTGTGCCTCCCGGCGCTCGGTTTGACCCCATCGGTCCCTATGGCACCCACGGCGGGTGAGTTTTCTTCAGGTCCTGTCCATCTGCTCAATTGTGACATTGTTCTGTACGAAGTAACTCTATTGCACTCTATTGTCTGCCAATTTCACAACTTTATTCTTGACAATGCCCTCTGTTCTATATCTCCTTTCCCTTTATCAAGCCAAGACATTCTGTCTGCCTATATTGTTCAATCTCTGTATATTCTGATATACATCACCATGTTTGGTATTCTGTCAGGATCCATTCTCGAGACATGTTCAAACCATTTGTCTCATTTCTTGCATCTGTTGTGTTTCCTTGTGCCTATCATTTTATTATCTTCTTTTCTTATTTTGGGACTCTTCGAGCATCCAAAGATTTCCCTCTACCAACTTCTACCTGCAGTCTGCATCTTTTGTTCATCTGCTTCCTCAGACTCAAATATTCTAATCCACATCATAGTATCGGCAGAATCATGGTTTCGTAGACTTAGATTGTTATCATGTCACATGCCAATGCATACTTTAGCTGGCTCACGTCTCATCAAATCATCCATCAAGTACTCATGCAAGCAGCCACTTGACATGTCCCAATATTCCAATGTGAGGTGCGTAATAAATAGTAAATGTAAAAACAATGTTAATTGTTTTATAGATGACATGACAGGCTGCATGAGAATGCCCATTCTTACATCATGTTATGGGATTGTTAATTAATGTACAGAAGGGTTTGTACATATAGTCAATCCACTGCTGCATGAGGGCCTCCGCATGCTGTGCAGGTTGTGGGAGTTATTTGTCTATACTTCACTCTGCTGATCTAAAGGTTGGTGAAGACGGTGAACATAGATTTTGGAGCATAGCACAGTACAACAATGGATTTTTCTGCACTGTCCACTGTAAATTATGGTAACCCACGGTAGCCTACAGCACATGTTTATACATACTGGTTGCCCATTCAAGCACGATCCAGGGTCAACCCTGTTTAACTTTTAAGCCCTAGCAAGATTGGGTACATAACAGGTGATTTGATCAGAGGCATATCAAGTTTGTGAAGTAGTCATGTATTTAATATGCAATTCATGTGAAACTAATTAACATTTATATGTGTACATCCAAAACAGAACAAAAAAAGACTCATGTTATTTTGCATATGTTACTTTAATCTTGCACAGTGCATGTGTGTCGACATTTGTGTCCATAACTGCTTGAGTAAACATTTTACCGAAGGATGCTAGGATCAGGTTAAAACAGTGACATCAGCTAAATCTAATTTAGTATATTTTATTGTAAACATCCCCTAGTCTCTTCCTTGTTACGATCGTATTTAGTTATATTAATTGCAGACCAATATAGTATTTCTCCAGTTTGGTCACTATGTTATTTGTTCTAATAACACATTGGCTGCTTTTATATGTGTAGCGAGCATGGGGCAACTGTAAGTGTGGCTCTTAAGTGCAGCTATGTATTTTGCTCAATCTTTGTCAACCTTACCCTAATAATATGTACAGTGTGTATAATTGTCATCCAAATGGGTGGTGTTTTGCGAGGCGATATTTCTAAACCACGATCTGCACGTGTGATGTGGAAAATGCAGTGGTCTGTTTCTAAAAAAACACAATGTCCCCAGCCTTAGGTCACTGCTAAGTGCTAGCAGATGGACTAAAGTAAATATTTGAACAGCAGGGGCACATAGCTTTTACGAACTTACTGTTTGTAATTAACTAAATTTGGTCCATGGCTGCCCCCATTTCACCTCTGGATATATATTATCTTTTTAAATAGGAACTTTCGTGATTACAAATTACATGATAACAGCCGTTGTAGCTGTGAATGGGGAAAAATATAATAAATGTGTAATATTTTGTGTTTTTATTTTCAGGCCGGATCCAGACCACCTGCCTCCCCCCAACTATGATGATATGTTTATGTAGCACAACTTGTACATCTGGAATTACCTGCAAACGCAATACACTGCAGTGCTCTTTTAGATCAATCTGATCTTACAAACTTCATGCAACTGAAAAGCACTTAATGCTAGAAAAAGATGTGCAGTCTTGTTTAAATGTGGAATTTGTTAAATCAAATTGTACTTTTGTTCATATTTTTCGTTGCTTGATAATTCTTTGCTATTGGTGTAAGTACTTATCCCAACGTAAAATAGTAAAGATATATGGTCTCATGCTATTTCTGTCCAGTCCATGTTCTTTGCAGTCACACTTGTTCCATATGCCTACCTTTGTATTGCGTTACATACAACATTTAAATACAGTACATGTAAATGCATTTGACACTCAACAAGGAACGACTTCACTGACGTTTCATAGAACTAAACTAAGCACCTTAAAAGTTAGTGTTGGTAGTTCTATAACTTGTAGTCATACTCTGTATATGATTCAAGATTCAATATCAATAACTTAATATAAAGTCATATAGCCAGTACAATACTATACAAATTACAAAAACAAAGTGTTAAATCTTAAAGTGCTATACATTAATGTATGTTGTCATGGTATAAACAGGTCAACAGACCCATTGTCACATTTTGCCATTACTGGATCATTAAACTTTCCTTTTTTTTTTCTCCAACTGGTATATGTAAGAAATTATTCATTTATTAAATATTCTACTCCAGTTCTGGTTTCATTTATGCCATTTCCATAAATTATTTTCAAATTGATGAAAGCGTGCTGGAATAAGTCCACTTAATTTTCAAGTAAATCACTTCATTTATCATGAGACTTTTCAACACAGAGACAATAACGTTGCCTCTAAGTTAACAATTGCATAACATGCTCCAGTGTATAATTTTCTTTTCTTTTTACTAATTTTGGAGTAAAACTTTTGACAGTGGCAATCTGTTGGTAGATAAAAAAAAAACATCAAATATTTGCCAAATGAGCTGTGGTTTACATTTCCCTTTTCTTAAAGAAATATGTTTATCGGTATGTTTTTACAAGTGATAATCATAGCCTGGCCATGTCATTGGATAGGGTTGTCTCATTGCGGATGTTTATATTTTAGGTGTATTCACTGTACAGCATCCAATTTGTAAGTCCTAAACTTAACCCAAGCGTGTTTGGTATTTGTGTCAAAATATTACCACACATTGTCTTATGTTTCATAAATGGTCATGTCATCCAATGCGCAAATTGCAGGTCAGGTCATCGTGAGGCAACAACACCATTGCCATATCAGAAACTTCCAAACATCAGTGCTTCTGATTGAACCAAATCTGCAATTGAATCGTTCAGGCATGTTCATGTTTAGCCTATTCTGTCCCCATACTGGTCAATGGAACATAACATGTTAAAATCCAATTTAACAAATATATTGGGAAATGCATTTGTGCTTACAAAAGTATGAAAAGTTTGAGTTTGGCAAAGCCAAAGTCAAGTTGATTATGGAGCAGAAACCAAAGAACAATTATCCATACATTTGTGCAATTAAATTAGCCGTCTTCACTTTCACATAGCAGTTGCGGAAACATCTTAATATTTGCATTTTTCCCCACTTTGAACCATGTGGATATATTCTGTCATGCCAAAGGTATTTGCTCTTCAAAGTATTTCCTTCAGATAGGCTACTGTTTGCATGTTAAGAGATACAACTGATAACATCTCTATGAAATGTCTCGTTATCATGACTGATGTTGTTAACATGTTAAAAAATTACACTAACGGTGTAAATGTCATGATCGATTTTATTGGGTTTTGTCACATGCTTAATGACTATTTAGCAGCTAGCTTGACCTCAGTGATTTGTCACGAGTTTGCCACGCGAGGGTGCGTTTTGTACAGGGCTTGGCATTAAAATCAGGGCATGGAGTTGCGGCGGCTGCGTGCGCGTGGGAAGCCAGGCCATGGGATGGGTTCGCCGTCCCCAAAAGATGAGGCGTAGGAGATGTCGCTCTGGCTGCCACCACTTTCGCTGCCATTGTCCTCGCCAAGACGCAGCTCCTGTAGGCCCAGGTGCAGCTCCCGCAGCTGTTGCAGAAGCGCCTTGTCCTGCAGACGCAACTCCACCTACAATGCGAGTAAATGCACCACGTTGGATCACATGGACCTCTGTTTACAGGAAAATGCATTCCAAAAGACAACTCGTTTAGATACGTGGTGGAGTGACATGGCTCAGTGGTGGCTCGGTGGTTGCACATTTGCTTGTTATGTTTCGCCAGGTGGTGGTGGTGGCGGTGCACGCCTGTAATCCAGCAGTGGAGGGGAGGGTTAGTGGATGGCCCATGAGTGTCGTGTGCTGGTGCCCTAGCTCATGTGGGATATTGTTGCCCCTATGCACGTAAGTTTTATCCGGGTGCTCCTGTGTCCTTCCACTCATTAATTGGCTGCAGACATCTTACTATATCGGCATCTCCATGTTTGCGGATTGCGCAGTGTTATGAGGTGCAGTTTAGATGAATGACGGTATCTAAAAGCGCCCATTATTTCATGATTCTAAATGCAGGCTGTCCTCGGTAATGCTGTGGGCATAATGACCATTCAATACGATGCACCGGATGCCTCACAGTCGATGTTAAAGATCCCGTGACAAATTTGAAAAATTACACCAGATCACAAAATTCGAAAATGTCTTAAGTAAATAAATGTAATAAATAAGATATACACCTAAGCTGCATGTGTTTGGTTGCCCTGAACTGTCTTAAATTATTAAAACCAATTTGGTTTGGTTGCGACTTTAGTAAGAGCCTGTTGAAGTGCTTTATTAATTTGATATATAGTTGCAAAGTGACAGCAATGTTTCATAATTACATTTCAAGTTTATTTTGGCCTTTTAAAATGATGGTATCCCCACAGAGGACAAGAATAACTAAAAATCACAAAATCATGTATGGATTTACACAAGCATCCAACAACTGTATCCCCATGCCCACAAGGGCTGCTTGTTGTGATGGCCATTGCATGTTAGGTAAACATTATTTTACAGGTATAATGACATGATGACACCTGCTGGCTGGGAAAGGGAAGCACGGGTACGGGCACCGCTAAGATAACATCCAATCGGAAAGGGAGAGGTATCTGGCGCAAAGGTAAAAGGCGGGGTTGGCCGAGATGCTCCGGGCCTGGGGAGATATAAGCGCGGGCGGATCGGGGCTCGGGGTTCGGGTGTGGATTCTTGGGTCCGGACTGCGTCGCTGCCTGTGTTGTGCCCGTGTGAGAAATAAAAGAAGTACCCTCTACACGACGTGTCGCGGAAGTCGCTCATTACACAAGCAAGCAGCAGGAGCATGGTCACTGGGTAGTGATGCAGCTGTGGCCAGAGATGGTGTCAGCTATTGGTATGCTGAAGATCTTCTACAATTTCAATATAGCATGCTAAATATGTGTAGTGACTAAACACTGAGCACGCTTTGTACACTTTATACAATACATACTCTACACTGTTACACTCTCTCTTTCTCTCGCTTATACGCAACTCTACACTGGTTACTAGCCTCCACACAACGCTAGCCGTCTGACACTGACGACGCTGAACCGAGACAGCCAACTACGTCTAGCAGCGCAATTATCAAGTGGAGACGGCAGCGACGAAGGCACGAGACAGCGGCGATGGTGGCAATCTTCAGCAGCAACGACGATAGGGATCCCACTTCAAACGACAGCCCGAGCTCCTGCTCGGGGTCCCACTTACGATCAACAGCCCTGAGGTCCCCTACAGGGGCCCTTATCCTGTCAGCGTGGCCTTGCTCCGCCCTGGCCACGCCCCATTCTAGAACCTACTCGTGGGTTCCCGACATGTCCCTTCCGTAACCTTTCCTCGAGATCCCTCTCGGGTCTATCACGTGGCCTGCTGTCAGGGCCGCTTCAAGCTGCAGATCCCCTTCGCTGCCAGCAGCTAGCGCTATGCTACTTAGTGACCAATTCTATGTCACTACATATGTACACAGAGATTGTTGCAATAAATATGGGTGGTCACTTGTTACATAGTAGTGTGTATCCAAATGCTTGCAATGCCTTATGACTGTGTATTCCTTGCTTTTTATATTTGTATGAATCTTAAATTGAAAATGTATTCCTGATGAGTACAACGTGATCCATAAGAGGTTTTTTTTGGGTTAGATCGCGTAACTATATAAATGTGTCCTTAAACTCTCCACCACCCGACACAGACAACTAGTAAGGATTGTCACTAAACAGAACATGCCAATTCGTCACTAGTACAGCACACCGGTGTGTTGGAGAGCCAAGCCACAACATTTACAAACTGAGTACGACGTTTCGCCAGTAATTACAACTATCGTCATCAACACACCGTTGGGCTGTACCAGTGACGAATTGGCACGTTCTGTTTAGTGACAATCCTTACTAGGTGGCTGTGTCGGGTGATGGCGGGTTGAACTACACATATTTATGCGATCTATTCCCAAAAAAACGCCTCTATTATAGATATTCATCGCGAAAGCCTCCGTGTTACAACATGTGAATTAAGATTTCTCTACGTAAGCTGTTTTTTACATTGAGAATGGATTTTTTTATAACTACAGTGAGCAGGATTTAAGTACAGTAGTAGAGTATGGGAAGCACAATGGTACAATTATTTAATTTGTCACTGGTAAAGATTTAGTTTTTTTCTGGAAGACTGAACTTGTGCAACAACATAATGTTTTTTTAAACATTCATCATCACCACCCATGGTCAGTCTACTGCTGGATGGAGGTCTCCCAAAGCCGCTGCCACCTCTCACAAGCCTGCGATGCAACAATCCATCGAACACTTGAACTGCATTTGTTGCTCCATTTCCTTCGTCATCTTGGACACGTCACACTCCTCGACTGTCACTCCATTACACTGTGTAACAAAAAAAATTGTTCCTGGGTACTAAGTGTTATTTCCTAATTGCTTATGCCTCAAAAGTATACAAAATGGCTATTATTCCCCACAAACTTTGCTTTTGTGACCTGGACAGTGATATTTTGAAATGTACCCATTTTCAATGAGAAAACGTGTGCATTTGTGTCATTCCTTCACGTAAAGTCTTGGTCACAAAAGCAAAGTTTGTGGGGAATAATAGCCATTTTCTATACTTTTGAGGCAGACACAATTAGAAAATAACACTTAGTACACAGGAACAAAACTCGTGTCACATCGTGTTATTATTCTTGACTCATTATCCTTTCTAGCGACATGTCCTGCCTAAGCCAACTGGTATTAATAGCTGCTTTTATATTTTGT